AATGACCTTTCAAAGTCAAGTTATAGTTCATTCGACGCGTCTGACGAAGTGAACACGATGCTGGCAAAAGTAATGTCGTGGCGCTACTGATTCAAAAGTTTTTTGTTTTTTTTGTTTTGTTTTTGTTTTGTTTGTTTTTTTGTTTTGTTTTTGCCCTTTGGAAGCTAAACCGTTGCCCTGAGGTCAAATCTGAGAGCATTACTCACAACGGTCTGTAAAAGGTCTATCGAATGCGCTTTACCAAGGCGCTGTAGCTCTATTGGTTCCCGAGTTAGCCGTTGGCTGTTTCCAAATTGTTAAATGGACTACATTTGACCTTTGATGACCTGGTGACCTGACCTTTGACCTGAACCAAAAATTATCGAGTGTTTCCGTCATTATTTTTGACGTTCTTTTGAGTGCCGCTTACCGCCGTGTCGCTACGTGGCCCAGGCGCCGAGTTAGACGGGGGTGTTCAGACACCCTTCCCCCCGGCACGGCGCGGAAGTCGTGGAGCACCGGCCCGGCGCGGGTTAAGGTGGCTGCATCTTACATTCGTAACAATGGTAGAAGGTTGTTGTAGGCGAGCAATGGCATCTTTGAGCATCATCATAAGTAGAAAAGTATGTCATCAAAGTCATCAAAAGCGTAATGCCCTCCGGAAGTCGTACAGCTGAGCTCTATGGTCTCCCAAAAACACATAAGCCAGACGCACCACTCAGACCTATCGTCTCAGCATGCGGAGACCCCCTGGACAAGTTAGCATGGCTTCTGGAAAGGATAATTACGCAGCTACTGACCTTTGTGCCGGCCCATTTGACAAACACAGACGACTATCTAGACAGACTACGGACCCAGTTTCCCCAAGGACTGCCAAAAGATTGTATAGTGTTTTCAGTTGACGTGACCAACCTCTACGGAAATATTCCCACCCACGAGGCAATCACAGCTACCTTGAATCTTATGAACAGACACTTGGACGATATTGACACTTGTGGACTCACTGTAAAGGACATCGACTCCCTCCTTAGACATTGTCTCAGCAACAACTACATTCGATTTGGTCAAAAATACTTCAAACAGACAGAGGGAGTGGCGATGGGATCCAGGATCGCCCCACCGCTAGCCATTATGTTCATGGACGCAGTAGAATCGATGATACTCACCTCTCCAAATTCAAAGTATCAGCCTATGACGTACATGAGATATATCGACGACATTCTCGGTATTTGGACACACGGACCGGACAAACTAGACGAATACTTCCGATTCCTCAACGACTTTCACCCAGCCCTAAAGTTCACGATAGAGAGGACCGACCAAACTCCAAACAGATGCATACCATACCTTGACACCATGATCAGAGTGAAAGAAGACGGCTCTTACAGCACTGAGCTCTACATCAAACCTATGACAGCCCCCATCATCATTCACTACACGTCAGCACACCCGATGCAATGCAAACGCTCTGTACTACACTCTCAGCTTCTACGCGCCAAACGACTAGGTTCTGATAGACAAGCACAAGAACGGGGCATGGGACTCATGGAATCACTGTTCAGACACAATGGATACCCGAACAGACTCATTCAAAGCACTAAACACAAAATCATGTATCACAGACAAAGATCAAAAAGACGAAACACTAAGCAACGAGACACCGACACGACTTACATATCTCTCCCCTACATAGACGAGACCCTTGCACGACGAGTCAACGGGGTAGTGCGCTCATGTGGCGTACAGGCACGTATCGCGTGGACCAGTGGGAAAACGGTGGCCAAACACATCGTGAGGTCAGCGCTGGAAAGCCCCCCGTGCCCTGCTGGTGCCAAACGCTGTGCCACATGCGAAGCAGGGCTCCCAGGCCGCTGTCACATCAAAAATGCCGTCTACAAAATTACATGTAATCTTTGTGACAATGAAAGTACTATTTACATTGGCGAAACAAAAAGGCGCATCCGTGACAGATTCAATGAACACTTTCGTGACGCTAAGAACAAGGCAAAAAACACCCCTCTTGGGGATCACGTTACCCAAAGACACCCATCATGTACAATCACATCATCGTCATTCAAAATCTCCATTGAAAGAGTGTGTAAAGACGTCGCTGATTTAAAAATATCCGAATCAGTGGAAATAAGGAACCAAAAACCATGTTTGAACACCCAAACTTCATCCTGGCCACTTCTGCAGCGTCCATCGTACACCCCCACATAACTACGTTGTACATATCCACAAATTGATTGTGACAACTACTGTCTGATTGTGCCGTTGATTTAGGCTGCGCCAAACAATGTGATGATTCATGCAGATTCTATGTTGTTATTTTGTATTGTATATTGATCTTGTGTGTTGTATATTGTACATGTATCGTAGGTATCATGGACGGCGCATCGTTATTTCGAGAGCCATGTATATATGAAATTATTCTCTCATCAAGGAGCTGATTGAAGCGCTGCACGATTTATTGATTGATGGAATCGAATTTTGTTTGTTTGTGTCGACAATTGTTTCTGTACATTCTGAAGATGGCGCAAGCCGAAATATATCAATGATTTTGTTTAATTATTCAATTTCAACAAAAAAGTGCAAAGAATGAGCATAAGGTTATTTATACATACTTTTCTACTAATGGTAGAAGGCGTTGATTTTATTTGATTTTTATAGCCCTGCCTTGGGTAAAGTATCTGGGTATTTATTCACAGCGAAGTCACTTTCTCCATTACCGTTCGGGTGTCATGTCGCATGCGGTTATCGGACACTGCGTTAAAAATCATTTAAATGCCTAGCTAAGCACACAGTTTGAAATAACCCGGTTCCCTGGGCTGTTGACAAACTGTTAAAATTGCCAGGACCAAATATGAGTCAAGGTCAGTAGAATGGAAGCATCACACCTACTCAAACACAAGAGATACATATGAAAAACTCGTTATGACGACGCTGAGAAAATTGGTCACCTGAAACATTAACCCGCGCACCGACGGGGGGGGGCGGATATCCGCCCCCCCCCTGAGGTTTTTCGCGAATAGCGGGAAAACCGCGGCGCGTAGCGCCGCGAAATTTTGTATGACTATTCCCTTATCAATTTTACACATGGTGTGCAATTTTGAACCTCCTATCTTTCAAGGTCAGGTCACCAGGTCACTTTGAATGACCCAACCTCAAGTCACTTTTTTGCAACTTTGTCACCGTGCCAGAGCTACAGTAGATGTCGGAGGCCTTTGAAAGTCGCAGGATGTTATTAGGTCATTAGTAGCTACAATTTGTATATCTCGGAATTTTGATATCGGTGACCTAAGGTCAGGTCAATTTCGCGACCTCCCCATTATAAGTCAATGGGGGAAAAATCAACTCCCTGTTTTTACCACTAAAACGGGTCGGAATGGCCCCATATACCATACATGACTTCATATACGATCAACCTTCACTACCTTGAGGTCTGTTTTGCTGTTGGGCAGCTGTGAGGTCATGTGACGTCATCAAAGGTCACCAAAGGTTTTTGGCCAATAACTCCGTACAGGAACAAGATACAGACGCGTGGATGGTCTCATTGTGTTCAGCTCGTCAAGACGCATCGAATGATATACATGATGACCTCGAGGTCACGTGACCTGAGGTCAACCTTTGACCTTGACCTTTCGAGGTCAACATATATATCATTCGATGCGGATTGACGAGAGGATCACGATGATGCCCTTAGTTTGTTCCTATCTTGACTAATTCGAAAGTTATTCGAGAAAAACTCTCTCCATATTTAGCGCCGCCATTTTGACTTTTTCGACCCCTGTGACGTCATCTTTGACCTGACCTGAAAATGACCTTAGTAAAAATTGTAGATCTTGACCGTGCGTATCCGATGCCGTTTACCGCTTGTCGCTATCTTGCTTCGTTCTCGAGATCTCAGGGGGGGGGGGCGGTCATCCGCCCCCCCCGTCGGTACTAAGTTGGCGCAGACCCCCGTCGGTGCGCGGGTTAATTTCCGGAAAAACCGGCTGAACAGGCCCACTGCACCAGCCAAGTTACCTCGACAGTAGAGTTATTTGGCTGTCTCAGAGCCTCTTGTTCAATGTGTACAATGTCAACATTTTACATTAGGTCCGACATGCTATCAATCACTTTATGTGCTTTAAAAAAAAGGCGCACGTGAAGCCTCAACACCTGGCAAGCCAAAAATATCAATATTTCTCTTGGTTTTACTTTTTTGACCTTCAGTTCATTACTCATGCCACTCATGCCTAAATTGTTGGTGCACTTGAACGATCTGACAGGCTTGAATATTCGGACCATTATAGTTGTTTCATTAGTTGAAATTTATTCACCTATTGTCCAAAGAGTGTAAAATGAATGTAAAACTTAGGTATATTGTTGAAAATGAGCGGAATATAGCGTCAGTTTTGCATAAATATCGTTTTCTAAAAAAAAAAAAACAAGTGGCAGAAACGGCAAACAAGGAAAATAAACAACAAAAACAACGATTAAAGCAAAAAAACTCCTCACTGTTAAGTGATTAACATTTTTTAAGCCAAAAATTTAATTTAAAAATTTTATAACTTTAAGTAGCTGTTATGTAACAGCTTCTCGTTTGTCGGTTTGTCGCAACTGCTAAAGTGAATGCGCATTGTGGGAAAATCTACATAAAAGTGAATTGAACATCAAATTGCTATGACAACAATTAGGCAGTCAGTGGACTTTTGAACGGCCTGCATTTTCAATCTAACTGTTCCATCAGCAACGGCCGATGTCGTATGTATGTACATCTGTCTAGGCATTAGCGCATATGTTGGTGTTGCGTATATTTTGCGCATATGTTGGCGTTGTTGATGTTGCGTATCGCTGGAGAATGGAGGTGATCCTTGCCCAGTTCCCATTAGATTGTTGAAAGTCGAAGAGTCAGCCTGCTACCTCTCGCGAGCCCTGTGTCTGTGCCTCGCTGTTCCCAATGTCGCGATAAACAGCCAGCGGCAGCGACCTCAGCGGCCCATCCTCTGCGACCTTCCCCCTCCTGCGCGGTTCGCTCCAGACCCAGTGAGGGGTTCTGGGCCTCACACAGACCCTGCCAGGGCGGCCACCGGGCGCGCCACGTCGGCCGCAGTTGGGTATATAAGCCGGGCCGGCGCGCCGGTGGGCGACAGAGCTGGGCCGTCCGGACAAGATGGCCGCCTCACTCGTGCTGCTGCTGCTCGGTAAGTGCTGGCTGACCAGATATACCGTCCCTCCTGCTGCTCGTGCATCTCTCAATGAAGCTCGCTATTTCGTTGGTACTTACGGCAACCGTATCGTTTAACATCGTCCTAGAGAAGGCCATACCAAATCATCGTCATAAATTGTGCTTATCTTTGCGAGATCGTGTACGAATAGGTCACACATTGCTTACGTTGTTTCTACATTCGGTAAAATAATCCATAAGAGCGTTTTTTTTTTTTTTTAAATAGAAAAACGCTTACCAATACGATTGCTATGACAGAATGTAACTGCATAGTTATGGAAAGCTCCAACAAAATAAGGAAGTGTGTCGAGAAATTTCATACTAAACTTTAATCTTACGAACAATCAGCGTCTACTTACACCTTCTTTCTCATAATCCCTGTTAAGCTGTATCAATTAAATCAAAACATAGGTACATGGTCCATTTTATTCAATTTCCACCCTCGCTGTAAACGTCTATATGGACACACTACGAGATTTGCTAAGACTGGGAATGCTGGTTTGCGCACATTGTAGTGATTAAACGAATAATATTTTTCAAATATGTTTTGAACACCGATTAAGTACCTACCGTAGTGCTTAACGCCGCCCGTACATACGCTTGGTCCCCGAGTTCAGTTACAACGTTACAATTTCCGACAAGTCGACCGTCGCTGTTGCCTTGTAAATACAGTCAAATACGAAATGTGCGTCGAGGAAATGGGATTCATGTATAAAAAAAATTAAGCGAGTCAATCCTGTGTGTGTTACAATGTGCACTAACCAATTTTTTTTCAAGTAATTCACTTAACAAATATCATGTGTTCAAAGCGACTTTTAAGTAAAAAGCCAACCTTAAAAAACAGTCACTAAAAACAGTGTAAAACAGCGGTCGAAACTAGGGTATTTGTAACTAGCTCAACACTCAGACGTGTTTATCCGCGTAACAACTTTGTAAATTTCAGAATACAAAAGCCTAAACAAAAAATATAGCATCTTAAGGTAAGTACCTATGCTAAAGACGGCATTGTGCTCGGCTCGTTAATCAGTTAATAATCAATACTAGTCAATATAACTCTGCTTTATCAAGCAGTTTTGTTGCCTTCATTGCCACTGTTTCAGCGACTTGCGTTGTTATATTTTCCAATTGATGATTTCCATTTCACATTCAGTAAATGTGACAATGCAATTCAACTATCTAGCTACCATAGGTCGGCCGAAAATGACGTCAGAGTGACGTGATGTCGGCCGATTTTTATGCAAAACATCGAACAACGGCCATCGCTCTCAAGAACTCAGTATTTAAGCTACACCTAATTTTTTTGCATGAGTGGACTTACAATGAACGTGGCTATTAAGCTGCTATCTCCGATTTTCCAAATTTTAAACATTTGGAAAAAAAAATATTGATATAGGTACAATCACAAAAATATATTTTGATTAAAAAAAAATTAGTTTTCGAAAACAACCAGAACATATGTGATAGAACACCCTTTGATGACCTACTCTAGAAAATTTAAGCCCAATATCTTCAAAAAATGTTCAAGTTATACGCATTATTTCAATTTCAAAAATATAGATTTTTAAAATCCATTTGCAGCACGTTTTTGACATCTTACAGCAATATAGATAGCACCATCGAGCTCCTTAGCTCAAATTGGATCTGATTGGCACCTTTTTGCAAAAAAAAATCAAAATTTGACCTTCCTTGACCTGAAAGTGACCTAACCTCAGGTAAATTCAGCTGCAGATGACCTCAAATGACACAGACGACATTGTTTTCGAAATATTTGAGCAAAATGGACCATGAAACATGCGTCACGTGACCGATACATGATATAAAATTTCTGTGACCTAGGAGCACCTGGCCTTGACCTGTAAAATTCGAATTTCAAGTTCGGTACCCTCAGGGTATCTAAGGCATATAGCAAGGAGTGCGTAAACCAAAAATGAGCCTTATCGAACTCGTTAGCTGGCGGCCAGAGTGATTAAGCCATAAGAATTGTTTTCAGGTACCTATTGAAACGTTGAGTTGAGCATTGTTGATAAGATTATCACGAGTATGAAAAATAACCTCTTGCTCATATCTGACATACGTCTCTCTTGTTCCATTGTAACACTGTACCACTGAGGAAGGGCCACGCCCGAATATATATTGGTCTTTAATTTTTTAATTCCTTCAGATATGAGCAAGAGGTTATTTTTCATACTCGTCATAATAATTGTGATTAACCCGCGCCCAGCTGGGGGTCCTGGATTTCCACGCCCTGCTGGGGGGGGGGTGTTTGAACACCCCCCCTTCTAACTCGGCTCCTGGGCCACGTAGCGATACGCGGAAGGCGGCGTTCGAAAGAGCGTAAAAAATAATGAGGAAATCACTTCGGTCAATTTTTTGGTCAGGTCAAAGGTCAGGTCACCAGAGGTCATTGAAGGCAAAATTTCGCCGATTTCCAGGTCGAATGTCGACAATTTCCAAGAAGCCAACGCATAACTCGGGAACCAATAGAGCTTCAGCGCTGCGGAAAAGCGCATTCGATAGCCCTATTAACGCCCTTTCTGAGTAATTCTCTCAGATTTGACCTAACGTCAACGGTTTTGCCTGCAGGGGGCAAAAACTGCAAAAATAGCCGATTTTTTCGGAAACAGTTTTTCTGCAATAACTTTTGACCCAAGCCTTGTACGAGCTTACTATTACCGGCATCGTGTTCCTCTCGTCAAGACGCATCGAATGAACTATAACTTGACCTTGAAAGGTCAACTTGAAAATTTGACCTCAGGTCAAGGTCATGACCTGACCGGAAAGGGTCATGTTGCATATCAGTCGATCCGTATCGTCGAGCTGAACACATCTAAGGCGTTTTCATCGCTCTAGCATGCCTCTATCAAAAGTTATTTGCGAAAAACTGTTAGATACCATTCGTGACCTAAGATGACCTCAGGGCATAAACATTGGTCACGGACACCATTTTCATGTTCAGTGTGTCTAAACCACTTGTAATTCAGTGTTTGGGAGTGTTTATAATGTCTTTCGTCCAAAAGAGGCGCATTTCAATTTTCTCCCATTGACTTATAATGGGGAGGTCGCAAAATTGACCTGACCTTAGGTCATCGATATCAAAATTCTGAGATATACATTTTGTACATGCTATTACTCTTAGCAATCGCTGAAAGTTTCAAAGGGATCGGTCACTCGGTGTAGCTATGACAGACATTGAAACTTTTTATGTGGTGAGGTCACTTCAAGTGACCTGGTGACCTGACCTTGAATGACCTTGGTCTGAAATTTTCACAACATGTGTAGAATTGATGTATGATAAGGTGTACCAAAAACGGCGGCGCTCCGCGCCGCCGTTTTTGAGATATTCGCGAAAAACCACAAGGGGGGGTGTTCAAACACCCCCCCAGCAGGGCGCGGGTTAAGCCAAAATTCTGTCTTACTTTGACCAGTGATCTGTGACGTAATCGGTGACCTCGAGGTCAATAAAATAAGATATCGCTCAACAGTTATTCCAGGGCTATCAGACGCCGTTTGAATATTGACGATCGGCCCAGTACCTACATGGTTTCGGAGATAGGACTGGGGAGCCCCCCCCCCCTCCCCCGCTTAGCCAGTCGCGTTATGGAAAATACCCCAGTCACGCACGGGTTAATTTCGAAATGCCAAAATGTTGAAGGATACTGGCCGATGCTCAATTATTTGCGCATTATTGAAAGATATATTGTTCAGCTGACAATCATCACAAGTTCATCCACCTATTGTGCTCTTTGCAGTTCGCCTCCATGCAGCCATAACCAGCGAGGGCTTATAAGTTTTTTGTAAGGGTTTAAGGCCTTTTACGAGGTTTTATAAACATGAAAATATCCGACTGCGCTATTATTGTCTAAAGGCAATCTCGAACTCTGTCAGTTACACAAAGACAAACCCCTGATGTTAAAGATAATATTAGCCAACTTAACTGATGTTTCCACATTAGCAGTAACTTTTTTCACGTGAATGAATATATATGTGGAACATTGTAGTCAACAACTGCTACACCTGCTGGTATCGGTTGAATAAGATCTGTGATCGAATATACCCGAATTTGGTTCTTTTGTCATTTTATTCCGATTCAATTAGGGATTTGGAAAAGGAAAAGCGTCCAAAAAATGTTGTTTTATGCTGCTATAACATAAGACCAAATACTGTCAAAACATGCCAGCCAATGCAATGGGTAGAATATAGGTACCTACTTTGGCATGATCATTGGATAAGTACCATTGTCATACAACTCACTTTAATCTAATCTTTAGCTTCCCCGTTACCAAGCTTTTTACACTCATTTTTACATGCGCTGGGCTGCATCGCAAACTAATCCTCCGTTACTGCTTACATTAGAATACCTCACAGACTGCTATATATAATGGAAAAAAATGTCTTGGCTCACATTTTATTATAAAACTTATCGTTATCAACGCCTTGCGATTCCTTTTAGCAGTTCAGTGCCCTTTTAATAAGCACTTGTGCACCCATACTTCAAGCTCACCTAGTTCTGTCTCTGTTTCTGTTGGCAGTGTCGGTGTGCGCTGCCGAGTTGGGCTTCCAGCCCAAGCGGCAGTACACCTACCTGTACGAAGGAAAGCAGGCCAGCGGTATCCCCGGTATCCAGTCGCAATGGTCCGCTCTGGGAATGAAAATGAAGGTCACAGTCCAGGTGCCCACCGCCGGCAACCTCTTCTTCAAGCTGGAGAACGTCCAGCAAGGTGAACTGAAGAACACCTACACACAACAGCCGTGGCGCAAGAGCTTCAGCCTGCCGTACTCTCCAGTCCAGCAGTACCAGCAGGAGCTCAGCAAGGTCTTCAAGGTGGAGCTCAACGGCGGAGTGATCAGGAAGATCATCACCTCTGGAGAGGAGCCTATCTGGGTGGTCAACATCAAGAAGTCGATCGCGCAGATGTTCCAGCTGGATATGCAGAAGCACCAAGCCATCGACGTGCCGAGCATGGTTCAGCCCAGCGGATACCAGAGTGGTCAGCAGGCCGACTTCTTCCGCGTTATGGAGGAGAGCATCGGAGGCGAGTGTGAGACCCTGTACGAGACGACGCCGGTCTTGCCGCAGGAGCTCAAGGGCGACATGGTGCAGGAGCTGACTCTTCTCTCCCAGACCTCTCTGCCAGGCATCAAGGTGCCCGACTTCGACAGCTTCCATCCGTTCGTCGTTACCAAGACGAAGAACTACCAGAACTGCAAGTCGAGGCCCAACTGGCAGCACATGACTCCTGGTGCCGTCTCCTGCCACACCGAAGACTGCTACCTGACCGCCTCAAACCGCAGCGCCTCAGCACGCTACGTCCTGGACGGCGACCGCAACAACTTCCAGATCCAGTACGTGGTGGCCGAGAGTGAGGCACTCATGTTCCCCTATGGTCATGAGACTGAGCAGCTGTGGACAGTCACCAACCAGACACTGTTCCTGCAGAAGAACGAAAAGATGGTCTCCTTCATCGGGGAGCCACATCAGGGAGTGACGCACAATACCCTTGCCTTCCAGTACCCCACCGCTGACGGCAAGGAGCTGAAGATTCCCGACCTCAAGTCGGCGCCACAGCTGAGCACTTACATCCCGGGCGCACCAGTCAAGCTCATCCTGGAGAAGATGCCCCCCACCCAGCTTGTCGGTGTCATCGTCCAGCTGATCCAGAAGGTAGATCAGATGACGCAGAAAGTACCCGATCCAGTCCAGCAGGATGTCACAGGCTACATTCTGGAGATTGAGCGAGCACTCAGCTGGTTGAGCTATGATCAGCTGGGCCAGATCTACAGTCAACTGAAAACTGATGGTCAGAAGGGTATCTACTGGGATTGTCTGGCTATGGCTGGCACCAACCCGACTGTGATGAGGCTCATTGACGACATCTCCAGCAATAAGGTGGACTTGAACCGCATGACACCTATTCTGGCCACACTGCCGGTCAACATAAAGACGCCCACCTACCAACTGATCCAACAACTCTTCCAGCTGTTCCGGTCACCAATGATTCAGTCACACCAGATGCAGCGAGCGACAATGGCTTTGTCTCTCTCTAACATCTTCTACCAGATCTGCATCAGCAACACGACCGTGGAGCACAGTTACACGCAAGGACTGTACAAAGAGCACTTCTGCAACAGTCAAACGAATGCTCTTCTGAAGGAGCAGTTCATTCCTTTCTTGGAAAGCATCATTCAGCAGTCCCAAGAATCCGAGAGGCTCGCCTTCATCCAAGCTCTCGCTAACACCGGGGACAAGAGCATCATCCCAGTTCTGGAGAGTATTGTGACAATGCAAAAGAGCCCGTTGGAAGCCAGCAAGGCCATTTACGCTTTCTATCGCGTTGTTGCACAGTACCCAGAGAAGGTGCGCAAGATCATGTCGCCGATCTACCACGACATCTCTAAGCCTGTCGAGGTTCGCGTTGCTGCAGTTACCATGGTTCTCGCCACCAACCCTCCCATCGCCTACTGGCAAAAGATCGCCACAAGCACCTGGTTTGAGCCCAGCAGTGCTGTTGCTGCCGTCATCCACAGCACCTACAGCACCATGGCCAATATCACCATGGCCCACGTTGAGCCGCTGTTCGAGATGAGCCGGAACGCTCGCATCACACTTCCTCTTGTGCGTCCTCCCCAGGGTGGATATGCCCTCAGCGGAAGCTACAGCTCCCATAACGGCCAGTTCATACCTCAGTACCAAGTGGCTGCCATCTCCCACTGGGCCACCATTGCGTCCAAAACATCGGTTATTCCAAGCGTTCTGTACCTGGAATTCCAAAACTACGTTAACAGCATCCTCTACAGCAACCACCGGTGGAGTCTCAACATGCAGGGTGGCCAGCAAATTATCGATGACATCATGGGAGTCGAGTACAATAGCCAGCAGCGTGCACGTCAGTCACCGCGCGATCTCCGCGCTGTCTATCAGAGTCTTGATAGCTTCATGCAATCTATGAAGGAGAAGCTGCAAGCTCCAGAGAAGTTCCACGCCACCCTGTACGCTCAACTGCTCGGAGCAGTCGACGTCTTCGTGGCCCTCGACGAGAGTAGCTACAGCTCTTGGCTGCAGAAGGTCCGCCAGGGTGGAATCTGGTCGTCACAGCAGGTGCAGAAAATCACTTACCTTGAGGATACCACCGTCACCTTCGCCTCTGAGATCGGCATGCCTGTCATCTATTCGAAGAAAATGCCAATGATAGCTTCTGTTCGGGGTCAGATGAGCGTTGAATGGAAACCGCAGGACGGTCAGTATCACGTCACCATGGATAACGTCCAGCCGTTTGTTGCTGTCACGAATCTCGTCACTGTCACCACCATTAACCCCTTCTCGCTGCGTTCGCTTGGCGCTGGCGTTGAGAACAAGCTGCAGCTGTCGCTGCCTATGTCATTCGAGGCAACCCTGGACACTCGGGCGAAGACTATTCAGCTCGAGATTCAGCCTATTCAGCAGCAGTCGTCGACCCAGGTCAAGGTTGCCCACATTCGTACCTTCCCCTTCACCACTGCAGTAGAGGTCAACAAGTACGAGAGCCTCGTCACATTATCTGACACCAAGGAAATCACTTCATCTCACCCCACTGAGTGGAAGCTGCCATTCGGCAAGGACGTTGGAGTCGAGGCCTACCTGCGACTGGTTTCTGACAGCCCTGTCATGAGCTTTGGCACATTCTGGGCCGAGGCGGCAAAGCGAGGCCGTACTGGACTTACGAGCTACTGGTTCATGATGGAGTCGCTGCGCTCACGACACTACGATGTTGTGATCGACACTGCTCGGTCTACCTTCCAGAAACTACAGGCAACGTTTGCTCTTGTGTCGCCGGATGGTCAGTCACCTGAAATGCGTCGCCCGATCATCACCAGCCAGGAACACACCAGGCAGATTCAGTCTAACATCCAGCAGACGCGGCAGATGCTGCAGAACCAGCATATGCAGAGTCCGCAGATGTCCCAGCAGCAGAGGCAAGTGATGAGCGTCAAGTACGGATATTCTGCGACGGCCACCATCTCGCAGAAGAATGGCTCTCCGCTGCAATACTCTTCGAAGATTGCTCTGCTCACTGATCCCAACTGGTACACTCAGAAACTTGCACTCAAGGCAAACTCTCCGAACGGCGAGACATGCCTCGACGCCGAGCTTGCTTTCCCGACTCTCAGCGACATCCGTGATGAGCTGCTGAGGACGGAGATCAAGGCACCGGTATGGGCCAAGCTCGGCTACGGACGCAGCTGCCAGGAACATTCTCTGAAGATGCAGGGCTATGTGCGTCGTGACGAGCTCGCCAAGGAGTATGCCACGTCCTGCCCGGAGGCTCAACGCTGCAGTCAGCACGAGAGGCAGGGAAATCCCAACTCTGCCGACTGCCGCCTTGCCAAGGACCATGCTGCGCTGGCCAACTATTACGACCTGGAGTTCACTGGGAGCGCTGTAAGTAGCCTACAAACGAGAGCGAAAGAAATGAGTGCTTTTGAATGTATGAGATTGTTAACGTTAACAATGTAGTATTGTTGACGACAAGTATTCCTCTTTTATTTTGCTTTTAATGTCTTATTTTGTTTCTTATAATGTTTTATTTTGATTTTAATGCCTTATGATGACCAAAAAAATGGGAAACGATTCATTTCATGACTAATGCCATCTTTTGTCATGGTTGCATTTGGTTTCGCATCGCTGATAAAAATGTGACATTCTGGCATAGAACAGGAACATGTTAAGTGGCTGACTATTACCCGTCTATTGCAGGTGACGCAGGACGTGCTGCAGGCGTGCTACAATGTAGAAAGCTTCTTCAAGTACGTGCTCTGGCCGTACATGAACGACAATAGATTCTCTCAGAACCCAAGCGGCAAGGTCAATGTCAAGATGCAGCTAAAACCGTCCACCAATTCTCTCAGCATTCAAGTCCTGAAGCCTTACGCGACCACTAGCTTTGCCAAAGTGCAGCTACCGTTCAACATGCTGCAGGAGCCGTGGCTTCTGACCATGCGCAAGTCGATCTCGAAGAAGATCGTCGACAGCCTCTATGGTGTTGACAAGACGGTCTGCCTGGTCGACCGGCTGGTAGTGAAGACCTACGACAATGTGACGCTGGCACGCCACCCGTCCGAATGCTGGACCCTGCTGACTGCGGACAGCAGCCGCATTCGCAACATCGCTGTGTTCGAAAAGCAGTCGACCATCCGCGTCGTGGTGGAGGGCATGGTTGCCGAGTTCGACCTCGGCAGCCTGAGTCACTTCAAGGTGGACGGCCAGCCCCAGAATATCGATGCTCGCACACCTGTCACTCTGCGTGACAACGCCACCCGTAAGACCGTCCTCCTGGTCCAGATGCTGTCCCCCGACACCATCAAGGTGGTGGCTCCGGAGCACTACGTCAAGCTGATCATCTCGAAGGAAGGAGTGCAGATCCACGCCTCCCTGCTGGCCTACCGTAACCGCATGCGCGGAGTGTGCGGCGACTTCGATGGCGAAGAGCAGAGCGACCTGGTGGGTCCCAGCGGCTGCATCTACAAGACTGGCCAGGAGTTCTACGACGCGTACCGGGTGGCTCTGGACGGCTCCTCCTCCCAGTGCCAGTGGCAGGAGCCCTCTCGCTGCATCCGCCGACCGGCTCAGGCACAGCCGTCTTACCAGTCGATGCGGTTGCAGCAACCCTATCGTCAAATGCGTGGCCGCTACTAATGCGTCGTTGCAGGACTTTCCAGCCTGTGCGCCCCTCATTTGATTACTGATTGTAACGGACAACAGACCCATGCGCGAACTTTGAGCTCCCATCGTGACCTACGTGTACAAATGATCAATGGTATTTGTCTGTTTGGTGATGCAATTAAATCACGCATCACATGTGGACGACTGTATGTAGTTATAAATAAAGCATGACACATAGCAGATGTCACGTCTTTTCGGAACATCCGAGGTGAAGTGAAAATATCGGAGGAGTTTCACCGTATGCAGTCATAAACGATAGCTACTGGCACTTGCAAGATACCGAAGATATTAGCGTTTAATCTTCCGCACCTATCATGCCTATGCTTCAAACTAAGGGTACATATCACATCACAACAGGTTAACGTGAGGAACATACCACCGTCCACCGATCCTTTTATACGCCGTCTCCAGGCCTCCAAGCGCCATTCTCTTGACTAAATAGGCATTAGACAATAGACATTCATCTGACCGCACGATTCGCTTGTCAGTCGTCAGCCGTTACACAGCCTGTTAGCGTATATGACTCTGCACTGGCTAGTGGCTACCGTCCTCGATTCATGATCCCTATTGTTAGAAATTCGTAGATATTCAGTTTTGCTCAATCTGAATCATGCGACACCACTTATATGCCAATTTATTAACATATTTGAAGGTGGGAGGATCCCTTTAAACTTTCAGGCGGTGGGGGGCATTTTTTGCCCCCCCCCTTTAGTTTTTTCGTTATATCTCGAGAACCGCTGCGCCGATCGTCACCAAACTTTCAGTGCCCTCCCGGGAGTAGCTAGCGCACATGGTGACCAAAAATTTTTCCAAAGGCTATGATAGGTTGGCCGCTAATGACGTCAGAGTGACGTCATTTTTGCCATTTTCGACCAAAAAAAAGGGTTTCGCAGGAAGAGCTGTCAGGCCTACAGCTTTCGAGATACAGAAAAATGTTCCGACATGAAAGGTGTGAAATCGAGAGGGCTACAAAACTGCAATTTCGGTTTTTCGAATTTTTGGATTTTGACCCCCAAAAATAAAAAAATGGACTTTTTGAATATAATAGCCGAAAAATCCAAAAAAATGAATTTCGAAAAAACAGAATATATGTGATATTCCCTACCACCTTCTATCTACATACCAAATTTGAGATCAATACCTCTTTTTTGGCCAAGCTATAGCGAATAAACTTCAAAATTGATGACGTCAAATTTTCAGACTCAATTTTCAGCAATTCTAGACCACGTAGCGCAAAACAAAGACCACCATTAGACTCCCCGTGACGAGCTGCATCGAATCGTTACCCATTTTATGCAAAAATATTAACTTTGAAATTTGACCTTTTTGACCTGACCTTTTTTTTATAAATTTAGTCCGAACCTTTTGATGGGAAGGATTCACGAGGACAGAGCCACCGCTAAGCAAAGCTTGTTGCGATGACCCTGCCCTCTACCCTCCGATCGCGCAATTCCGGTGCTATGGCATAATTTAGAGTCCAAAGTTTAACCCGCGCGGGGCTGGGGGGGGTAAATTTTACCCCCCCTCGCGAATTTTTGCAATATCTCAAAAACGGCGGCGCGTAGTGCCGCCAAACTTTCAGTACCTTTTCTTACATCAATTTGACACATTCTCTGAAAATCTGAGCGAAATCCGTCGGAAAATTGTTGAGAAATTGACGTTTTAGTGACGTCATGTTCGCCATTTTCGCCTCAAAAACGGCAAAAGTTCAAACGCCGCTAGCATCTTCATTTTTAAAGGAATAAAGACGTAACAAAAAAGGTTATACGTAATTCTACTTTGTCTATCAAATGGCTATCTCGTTTTTTTTTGAAAATTTTGGATTTTTGCCCAATTTTTCAAAAAACTGACTTTTTTTGGAAAATAATTATAAAATCCAAAATTTTGAGTGTATCGAAAAAACGGGAATATATGTCAGAGAAGTGGTCTATGTGCATCTACATACCAATTTTTAGAAGAATCGGTTCAAAAATGTGGGAGTTATTGAAAATTTTATGACGTCACGACACACACAAAATTTGAAAAATGATTTTTTTTGGAAGTTCTGGACCTCGTACGGAAACAAAAATAGCACCATTCGATTCGCCGTGAAAAACTGCATCAGATAGACACCTTTTTAGGCCTTAACAACCAACTTCAAAATTTGACCTCACTTTACCTGACCTTTGCCTGACCTCGACCTGAAACGCATCCAGACGTGGTCCATATCACTTATTGAGTGTGCCTATTGAATTCTATGAGTAAAATGACCCATAAAACATGTGTCGCACATGCCCTTTTCTATATTTTGTTTTTGATGACCTGACCTGACCTGACCTGACCTGACCTGACCTTGACCTTGACCTCTGAATGATACTGTATGCAACGAATATTGTCTTGGTAGCCTAAGAACACGTTTTGGGCAATCAGTCTCAGTCCATGACTCCATTCTTCGGCAACTACGGTGCAAGGCCGATACTGTAGACAGTTGCAATTTGTACCCTTGACCTGACCTTGACCTTGACCTCAAACTTTAAATTAAGTACATTTTTTTAGTTGTTCGTGATGAGATCTTTCGATTGGCGTTTGAATTTTCCAAATCGGAGCATTAGTTCGGGAGATAATAGGGGGGTAAAATTTACACCCCCCCCCAGCCCCGCGCGCTCGGCTGGAGACCCCAGCCCCGCGCGGGTTAACGTGCGCACAAGGCCGCGCACGGCCGGTCCCCTCGCTGACTTCGCCTGGCTACGGCCTGCCACCAACCGCAACCATACCTGTCAGGAGGCCCATAAATGTCGAGCGCCCGTCGCGCTTCGAACCCGGATTGTCGTCTGTCATAACCGGGGACGCGTGCTCTCACCACGCGGAGTCCAACGCTCTAACCAACTGAGCTACGGGACCGGCGGGACCTTGACCTGACCTCCACCAGAAAGTGACCTAAACCGTACCTGATGGTCTTATAACCAATACCATTGAGTTGGAAATGAAAAACTGGCCATAAAACATGCATCGCACAACCTTAGTAAAGTTGGGTTCATGTGGTGACCCTTGGTGACCTTTGGTGACCTGACCTGTGACCTGACCTGGTATGAACAGTGACCTCTAATAGCAACATATGTACTAGACAACTGACACCTGACCTTATCGCTGATTTTCGACAAAATGCGTTTTACTCGGTGTTATAGCGCTTTCCCTAGAAGCCCTAGGGAGCCTTTAGGGAGCCTTTAGGGAGCCTTTTCCCTAGGGAGCTTCTTCCAGACTGGGGGGCTGAACCATAATAGAGATCAACCTAGGGTACCCCCAAATCTAATTTTCTCACCGGTTTTAGGCCACTTATTTTTCAGACTTTGGCCTTTTCAATAACAAAAAAAAAAAAACGAAAAATGCAAAAAAGTGAGGCATTCCGTCTCAGCTGAGTGAAGTAACTACCGTTTTGGCAACCTGAGTAAATATTTTAATCTGCCAAATGAGTTGCCGAGCCAGTTATCGGAGTTACATGAGCAAGTAAATGCGTATCACTACTCTTACCTTTGAGCAGACCTAAGATAATGACCGAGCTATATAGGACTCTTATTATTTTTACACTCCTTCAAACGGCATAACCGCTCCTCGCCACGTAGCCCAGTAGGCGAGTTAGAAGGGACGTAAAACGCCTACCTCTTGCCTCAACGTGCTACGATAGTGTCCCCAACCTGGCGCGGGTTAAGCCATAGGTGGTGGAAGGGGGGGGGCAACGGGGCACCGTCCCCCCCTTGATTTTGCCTTTTTAACATTAGCCCTAAGGGCGTTGCATGGAAAGAATAGGACGGAAAGTCGGCAGTGCCCCCCCCCCCTTAATTGAAGGTGTTCCGCCACTAGGTACTGGGTTAAAGGGACCCTCCCACCTTCAAAAAAGTTTATGAATTGGCATTAAAGTGATGTCGCTCGGTTCAGAAAGAGCGAAAACGAATATCTACCAAATTTCACCGAAAAATACTCACCGGTTTTCAAGATATTAGACTTTTACTTTTGTTTACTTTTTTGGGATCTCCGCTGTTTCTAGCGACTTTATTTTAGAAGTGCGGCGTTTGCGGCAGATGTTGCGCGCAAATAGCATATACCACCGCGTGCTACAAAACGTTTTAGTCAAACATTTAAAAATCGTTAGATATTTGCGCTGACGTCACACATTCAGAGGGGTATTCCTAAGCATTAGCCCCTCTGAATCAAAATGCTGCAATTTTGAAATTCAATATTTCCGATTTAAGGCATTTCTCGATGTTGTGAGTGCCGAAACCGGTAATTGTGAGCCAGGGACCCCATTTTGGCTATCTCAACTCAAATCTAATGTTAAGGTGGGAGGGTCCCTTTAAGTTGGGGGAGCCTTGAGCTTCAGTAGCTCTCTCTTGATGCTCTACATATATCACATCACTGATATTACCCTAGATCTGCCTTGTAATGTTATTATTGTAGTGCCTTCTTACGGTAACGGCCCTTGATTTGCATTTAATTCTGTCTGATCAGGCTTGTCGGACATTCTCGATGAAAAGTTTTGAGTAGAAGCTTCAAAATCAAAATAGAAAATTTGAAAGGTAGATAAGGGGGACACTTTCATAGGTGCCACTTGGTTTTCCTTTTCTCTCATGTAGTTAGATACAGCTTTTAGGATTTACAGAAGTGGAAAAGGTTACCCCGGCCGCGCCGGGGTAAGCTGAAAGTTACCCCGGCCACGGCCGGGGTGGCCGGGGTAGGCTCTCCACCTATGGGCGTACGTCCTGAATGAAGGTCACCAACGGGACGGTTATACCTTCTTTTACCTCCACAATGAGCCCTGCAGGCCAGATAGTCAGGATGGAGGGTGTGGGACCCCAGTAAACATGCCGACGTCGGCCCGACATCGGCTGGACGTCGGATATGCCCGCATGTTCCGACGTCCAGCCGAAGTCCAGCTGACGTCGAGCCGACGTCGGGCCGAGGTCGTTTGCCGAGGTTGACGAGATCGTTTGTCGTTGGACCGACGGGGCCGACGTCGGCATGTTTATTGGGACAACGCGCCAAAAATATCAACCGGCGGCGGGATTCGAGCCCCCCAGTCGCCGACGTCGGCATGTTTACTGTGACAACACGCCAAAAGCATCACCCGGCGATGGGATTCGAACCCCATGTCATTTGAACGCGAGGTTAGTGCGCTAACCACTACACCACACAGTCAGATAGCGAATTTACTTTGTTTTGTTGGGTTATGCCCTTTCTGTCTGACAAGACCATTTCAGAGCCGGAAGGATGATAGGATGGAGACATTGGTCTTCTTGGCGAGCATCCTGGGTCCAGTTCATATAGAGTCCCTGGTCCCATTGCTGTTACGTGACACTTATTGGAAAGGGCGACCCCACAATGGATTCATATAGCCACTCTTACACACCTGCACCAACGTTTCCCAAAGTGTCCCTTTGATAAGTGGCACTTTGGCAAAGTGACACTTGCCGACTGGCCTTTCTATATGAACTGGGCCCGGCGCTGGTGAGTTGCCGTGGCTGAGCCTGACCAAAGGATAGGCCGAGCAGCCCCCAAGCACTCACCGCACCCGGTTACGGGCGAGCTCGGCTTACGGGCAATCCCAAGTGGGATAAAGTTTCCCGTCCAGTCCGGATCAGGTGGTTGCGGCGTGGAGGAAGATTTGACTTTCCTGAGAATGCAGAAGCTCTTTATGAAACATGAAACATGTATTTTATATTATTTTAACGGTCAAAACAGCGGCCGATGTCGGTCCGACGCCGGCCCGACGTCGGCTGGACCTCAGCAATTGATCTCGGTCCGACGTCGGCCCGACGTCGGCTGGACCTCGGCTGGACGTCGGTACATGCGGGCAAGGCCCTAAAACATAAGGTTGGACGAAGTTTTCTACCAAAAATGTACTAGAATAGCGTACGAGTCAAAGCTATTTCCGTTGTTTCTTTACAAATATGTCGCAAACAAGCTTTTTCTGTAATAAATCATTATTTCGAAGTTAAGCAACCAGTTACTATAAATTCGATAAGCAAACACTTATTTTTTATATAAAAGCCTAGCTTATATAGTCCAATTCATGTTGAATAATCAAGTAGCTACTAAATTTTCCAGATGTGACACATATTGCGCACTTCAGACAAATGCGTTGCTAAGGCGTTGCTAAGGACTCTTTCGCGTGTTTTGCTGCGTGGTTTGTGTTTGGTTTGTGTTTTTGTTATGAAGTGAGGGGAGTGAGATGGACAGGCTGTTAAAGGAAAAGTGCCACCTTGGTAATATTACTAAGTGCTCGAGCGAGGAACATATTGAATATAATTAGATAAATAAAAGAAGTTGACCTTTTCCTCGACATCAAAAATGTAAAAAGCCGAATAATATATTTAAAAAAAAAAAAAAAAATTTTTTTTTTTTTTTTTTTTTTAAATATATTATTCGGCTTTTTACATTTTTGATGTCGAGGAAAAGGTCAACTTCTTTTATTTATCTAATTATATAGAAAAGTGCCACCTTCTTGAAATATGAAAATATCGTTGGTTTTTATTTTGACATTACTATTTTCCATTTTCTTTTCAAAACCGGTGCCAGAAGTGCATAATTCGCTAAAAAGTATTTCAAACTATTTAACATATTGGTACTATGTTTATACTCTCTACCGCAGCTACTGTATGATGTCATAGCAATGACGTCACACTCAAGCCAATCAGCCTTGAGGAGGATAGACTCGTCGGACTGTAGCGGTTGTAAACAACTTGTCGCCCCGTGTGTCTGCCCGTGGCGCTAGTTATCTGTCGGAGGTAAGGGTGAAAGATGCATATAATGGCCATGGAACGCTATTTTAGGATTATTGGTGAATAGCAAGAATATAGTTTTGGTGGTTTGAAATTGTTTGTCCTCAGTGATTGGCTTGATTCTCATTTTGCGGCATAAGCGGCTGTTTGGTTACATTGCATTTTTTTATGATTGTGTAATTATTATGATTATGTTCCTCCAAAGTAGGCATCACATATCAATCTCAAAGGCAGATCATCTTCTTTTCATGCCTATAATTTTCTTCAAGAATATTAATAAAAAATATTCCATTCACCCCTGCCCATCATATATCCCATGGAGCTGCTGGTGGAAGTAGGCATGCAATGTGACCTAGCATTGGCGATGTGGTTAATTAGCTTTAAAGTACTATTGAATGCTAAAGGTCATCATTTAGAATGGTTTTCAAAATATTCCACTAGGAAATATTCATTGAAACCTGAAAATTACTTACAAAATGTAAATGTATAGCCACGTCTCAAGAGCATTCAGCCGTCTTCTCAGTAAATATATAATGAAACATAATCTTACCTGACCTAGCCTTACCTACAACCAAGGCTATATAAACCAGGTAGAACGTTCCCGACGAAAAAGTGGTGACAAGCGATAATTAGTAGCCGCGACCCTCACTTGTTCAAAACTATATCCGCAAGCAGCATTTACAGGCTAGCGGAAATCGACCAATCGGCGTTCGGCAATACTCGACGCTGATTGGCCCGATGCTCGTGACGAAATTGCGGGGGACTGTAGCTATTCCCCTATGGCGTTTAATAGACTTACGGCTTTTGAAGGGGATTTATACCAGTTTTTGTTGGGTTTGAGGCCATTTTTGAGCTTGGATATTCTTTCTGTGACTTTTGACTGTGTAATAACGACATTTAATCATGACATTCTATATACTACCGGTGTCACATCGGCCAAAAAGACCGTAAGTACATGGGATAGACGGACCACTGCTGATGGGGCCACACATGTCGGCGTGTGGTCATCGGAGGTCCGTGAGGGTTCGACATAGACCCTTCATGGGTCGGTATAGGCCCGGTGGGTCCAGTGTGCAAGCCTATCGGGGGCCGGTGCTGACCCAACAGGGCCCAGTGGCATATAATGTAAGGCTGTCTAGGCCGACGTTGAGGGCTCATGGGGGCCATATAGGACCAATAGGGACCACATCAGTCAATCAGGGGCCATTTAGGCCAATAAAGGCACTTCAGGGGACTTGAAAAGGTCATTCAAGAGCTGTGGTGGGCCCATGAGGGGACGGCATTGGTCCAGCAGGTGCAGTCAGGGGATGTGCCCGATGTTGTACGGGTATCTCAGTGGCCCATTTGGGCATATCAGTGACCAATTTGGACCCAGCAGAGGGCTTTGTAGACCTATCAGGGGCTGGTGATGGTTCATCAGGGGCCAGCGTTAGTCCATCGGGGCACGGCATATGCCCATCAGAGGTAATTGCGAGCCCACGCTGAACAATGATGGCCCTTCAACGGCCCCTAATGGATCTACATTGACCCATGGGCCATGATGTGTCATGTATGCCCCTATGACAGGCCTACTCAGACCCCTGATGGACATTCCCGGCCTCTGATGACCCTATACTGAATGCTAAAGGGGCTCTAAGTTTCTCCAATAACCCTTCGTCAACCCATTATTACCATACGCTGGCACTAGGGGCCCCACATCAGCCGCAGGGCAGTCCGTGCCATGACAGCATGTCTTTTCGGCCGATATTACATCGGTAATATTTATTAAAATCATGATTTTATGGTGTCATTATATAGCTAACAGTCATAAGAAATATATTTCAACTCGAAAACAGCTCCAAACAGCATATAATTTTAAAGAAACTCCTCCGAAATCCAAAAGCCTATTCGGGTCCATAGAGAATAACTGCGGTCCCCCGCAATTTCGTCACGAGCGTCGGACCAATCAGCGTCGAGTACTGCCGAGCGCTGATTGGTGAATTTTCCGCTAGCGTGTAAGTACTGCTCGCGGAACAAGAGTTCGTCGACAATCCTCCACAAACGTCTGTCACCATTTTTCGTAATGCTAAACAGCCGGAGCGTACCCCCCTGCCTACAACCTACAACGTACGGCATTGGTAAAGCTGGCATCACTGTCAGCGTATATTAGTTTGGTAGGTTGTGGGTAGGTAGGTTGTAGGTCAGTTGGTAAGGTAAGGTTAGGTTAGATTGTTTTTAAGATTCCTTTTATCTACACATTTACCGGTTAGCGCTGACGGTGACACCAGCTTTACCGATACCCAACCTACCACCTACAACCTACAACCTAAAACCTACATTCAATGTTGGCGGGTGGTGATAATTGTTATACCTATATGATAATACTGGAGATAAATACCATACAGATTAGCTGGTATCCATGACACACTTTCTTAAGAAGAAGGTCTTCTATTAAATCATGTCTATATTATAGGAATCAAATGATTTTTGTTGTAGTCACATTCCCTACTCTGACCATCATGTCTGATTATTTCCAGTTACCACTGACAATGCCCAAAACAAGAACAACAAAGGCCCAAAGGTGGCTGTTTGGTAGTGCGCAAAGCTGCTGGTAAGTGGCATCAAAGGATAGGATGTGCTTTGTTATTTCCAGGCACGTAGCCAGGATTTTGCTCAGGGGGGGGGGGTCACAGGTTGTGGCCTAGTGTTGTACTCCCTCCAAAAAAGGAAAATTTTCTCGGATTAGGCCCACTATTTTGGGGGTGTGTCACAGCTGGTTTTATTTTATAAAAAAAAATCGCCATCACCGAGGGGGAAGGGGCATGAGGGCATGGCTCCCGTGCCCCTCCCCCCTCCTTGGTTACGTCCTTGGTTATTTCTGATAGTTTGGATATCACAAAGCTTTAGATATAAATTAGAATGTATTAAGAAGCTTTCAGCATTGCACCTTTCCAGACACTGATAATTCATTTGCCTTTATTGTTTCAAAAGTCAATTTTCAACACAAAAAAGTTGAAATTATTAACTCAAATAATTGCAAATATATACTTTGGTAATTTGCCTTTCGCATCACTATCAACAAAATAATCAAGGGTGACTTAATATGAAATGTTCCTGCATGATCTTCATCGTGAACAATTGTCAAGGTATGATGTTTGCGTGTTGAAATGTTATAAAGAACTTATGTCATAAAAACACAACTTGTAAAAATATTGTCTTTCCATATTATTCTGCAAGTAAGCCTTGGAAGGAAGAGACACTATTCCGTCCTACAGAATCCATTTAGAAATGTGTGACAACTGACATGTTCAGCACTTTGAGTCAGTCGGTGCCCGGACCTCAGTCGGCTGTATGATCGTCTCCTCGTCCTCTTTTGTCGGCTCCGCCCCGTGCTGTTCTATAAGGGTGTCTGACCCGCTGCCGCTATCCCCACTGTGAGGTCTGACCCGCCGCGCGCTGTCACCACTGTCGGCCCTCTGTGTGCGCGGCAGGTGGTGGTGGACGTCTCTGCCCTGACGCGCGGCGTGCGTCTGCTCAGTGTGGAGGTGCCGCTGACAGCGGTGCCGGCCGGACCGGCTGCCTCTCCGGCGGCCGACATTGAGCGCGGCACGTGTCCGCCGCCGTTCGGGCCGCTGCAGCTGCTGCAGTCGGCGGCGCAGCTGTCCGTCTCCGTGTCGCTGGCCGTGCCGCTGGACCTGCTGCCGCGGCCGGCGCCGGCGCGCTGCGCCTACGGCCGCCTGCTGGCCGTGAGCCGTCGTCTCGCAGCGCGGCCTGCAGCGCAGCGGCGTGCCGCAGCTCATCCAGCAGCTCAACGAGCCGCCCAGCCCGGCGGCGGCCGAGGGCGCCGCGCCGCGCCGGCCCGGCGACGTCAGCACACCTGGCATCAGCGGCTTCTGCCTGGCCGACCGTCAGCTGCACCTGCTGTTCGCCGAGGGGCGCGCCGACGCCGAGCTGGAACAGACGGCGGCCGCGCCGCGCGCTCTGCCGCGCCGCGACGCTCGACTCTGCCACCACTCGGGCTTGCTGTTTAGGGAGCGCCTGTACCCGCGCCAGCCGGCCGTGTTCCGCGTGCTCGAGGACCGCCCGCTACGCGCCCAGCTGCTCGACACCCGCCTCTACACGTTACAGAAACAGGAGCCGGCGCGCGCCGTCCGCGCCATCAGAGAGTGCTTCCGCACGCAGTGGCTGTCGGAAAATGAACCTGCTTCCCAACGAGGCCGGCCTGCAACAACTGCTGGCCGGCTGTTGGCCGAAAAAAAAACGCTTTCAACCGGATGTCAGTTGTCAAATCAACGCGTAGTAATGCATTCACTAGGATGGGCTTACGTAAAGCTGTAGAATTGCAAATATATAATGGCACTGTTTTTTATCCGTTCGGTATGCATTGGTATCATATGATCCAGGGGCGTAGGCAGGGGGGGGCCACTGGGCCATGGCCCCCCCCTTGGGCGCCGAAGGCGCCCTTTGCGATTGGAGGGCGCCGAAGGCGCCCTCCAATCGCAAATGCAATTGTGATATAATCGAATCGAAAAACAATCGCGACTGGAGGGCGCCCTCCAATCGCGAATGTGTTTACAGGGAAAATACGGATGGAGGGCGCCCTCGGAGGACGCCCATTCCAAATACGCCCTCCAAATACGGTTGGAGGGCTCCCTCGGGCGCCCTCCAACCACATTTGTAGGCTGTAGCTCTCTAAGCGTAACGGTGGTCGCCTATGTAAGCCGCTGTCCTGTAAATAAGCGCCCTCTCACCCGAAGGCGTCCTCCTGTAGGTCGCCACCCTGCTACACATTGCCGCCCTTCTGCTGATCGGCGTCCTCATAATTATTGGCGCTCTTCTACCTATTGCGCCCTCATGTGAAATTTTGAAGGCCGCCTTTCTCCCTTTTGGCACCCTCTTGTTCAGTGCCGCCCTCCTACCTATTGGTTCCCTAGTCCTTCCTGTTGAATGCTAATCGGGGCCCTTCTCCTATTGGCGCCCTCGTGTTGATCGCCGCCCTCCTAACCACTGGCACCCTCCTGTTGATCACCGCCTTCCTATCTACTGGCACCTTCCTGTTGACCAGCGCCCTCCGCACAGACGCCCTCCTGTTCGTGTCATCCTCTTGAGCAAAGGCGCCCTCCTCACCATTGCCACGCCCATTTTAATCGTCACCCTTCCGCTCATTGGCGACTTGCAGTTGATGACCGCCCTCCCACCTATTGGCGACCTCTTGTTGATCGCCACCCTCCTATTGGTGCTCTCCTGTTCCTCGCCACCCTCTTACCTGGTGGCGCCCTCCTGTTGATTGTTGATCGGGGCCCTCCTACCTATTGGTGCCCTCCTGTTGATCGCTGCCCTTCTATCCATTTGCGCCCTCCTGCTGCTCGCCAACTTCCTACCTATCGGTGCCCTACTGTCGAAACTCGGGATGTTGATCGGGGCTCTTCTACCTATTAGCGCCCTCCTGTGGATCGCAGCCCTTCTACCTATTGGCAACATCCGTTGATCGCTGCCCTCCTATCATTTATTTACTCCTTTGGCATGTTCTTCAACTTAGTCGTTCTATTGCACATAGTTGATGTCTTGCCTGTGAAAACTGCCACAAATGAACGTGCATTCAGCACAATGAATGAAGTACCTATACCTACCAAAACTATCTACGCTCTACGATGCATAAAACACGTCTTTGGTCTTAACGGATTGATCCTACTTTACGTGCATCATGGCATCTATATGTATTACGATTAAGTATTGTCAACAGGTTCGGCCGCAACAGCAGGCATCTGAAGTTTCGGTGATTGAAACTGGTTATGTGGGTACACTGTATGCACCTGTGAGAAGGCTATGAAGGCTGGTCTGAGGTAATTTGGATGATGTTTACGCATCTCGCGCTCCGGTATCAATCCGATACGGTGATCTGGTGCGTAGATATGCCACCGCTAATAAACTTTTATACATCGACACCCATGAGCCAAGCTTTCTATACAGTTTGTGTGGCAGCGGCCCGACCAAACCTTAGGTATTTTTTATACCTTCAAATTTGGTAAAAGAGCGAGAGGAGCTTTGAACAGTGATCGTATAAAAGGCGTGCCTAAAAAGCGGAGGAAAAGGTTGTTTTCAAAAATTTCGCGCGCCTTCGGCGCAGCATTTCAAGACCACTCGACCTTTTGTGACCTGGAGTTTAAAGAATACACACGATGCAAAATCAATGCAGCACGACCTATACGAGGTTACGCAAAAAAAAACTGGTGGCATGGTAAAAAACGCCTCCCAACCCCCCCCCCCCCCGTTGAGTGATTTTTTATCTCGCGACCGTATGGCGCCCTCCTTGGGTGAGGTGGCGCCCTCCAAACCCTTGGCCCCCCCCTTCGCGATTTTCTAAATACGCCGCTGATATGATCTCTCATTCACAGACGATCAGCTGCGAAGACCCAGATCCGTAGTAGAGGGCTCATCGAGTCTGGGTCCAGCTCCCCGTACTTCCTCCACTTTGGAAACACCGCAGCGCAGACCACAGTTATACATTAGGGTGTGTCATACTAAGGGTTTTTCTCTTTGATCTTGAGGAGACAGCGATTTTTTATGGCCTATGGTATTATGAAATTGATTTATTAGCACCGGAACACTTAGCATGCGTTAATTGAGTGCCGCGAACGATTTTTGGCGGATGGGCCCGAACCGACCTAATCTACCCCAGCGACATCTGTAATGACGGTTTTTGTTGGTGGCGCCACCTAGGACAACCGTATTTTTTGATGTGACTGATAGTCGACGCCCTCGCGTTTGGCCCCTGATCGAGCTAGACCTTCGCGGAAAAACGAGCTTGTTAACCGTCACGAGAGGAAGCCGATGATACCCAATTTTAAGGTCCTAAGTCATCGGGTGACCTTCCAGGTCAGGTCAATGACCCGAAAACCGGGAAAATCGGGACCTGTTAGAAAGTCGTAAAGTTTGGCTTCTATGTGGTTTTCCGGGGTGCTGATCACGAATATCGTGTTAGTTTTGATCAGAGATGATGTATTTAAGCATTTAGACCAGGTCGGGTCAGGTCAGGTCAGGTCAACCGGTAGGGGTTGTGACGGGTATTCGTAATACGTGTCAACCGCCTCTGACAGCTTCGTAACATGTTACGAAGGCACCAAAACTACTTCGTAAATGTTCAAATGGTTGCTAAATTCCAATTCAGCTCCAAAAACTAGCCTAGAATCATGTAAAACTCGAAAAAGTGAACCGAGGTCACCCGAGGTCACCAAAGGTCAATGACCTAACCTGCCCTTCAGGTGACCTTGACACCCACCCTAATGTATGGGAGCAACATCAAATCACATGTTTGAACGTTTGAAACCACGAAAAGCTTGCAAACGCGCGGCTAATGCGAGACGACATACGCCGAATCGCGATTCCGGCCAAACATGGTCTCGGAAAAGAGGTCACAGGTCAAAGGTCATTTGGGTCAGGGTCATGAAATTTTAAGGGTAGGTGTAAAATTGAATAATGCGAGGGTACTGAAAGTTTCGTTGCGATCGGCAGCTTTTTACGCGAGTCAGGGGCTCCGCCACGGTTTTGGGATTGGGGGGGTCCGACCAAAAACACAAAACCTCGCTGGCGGATCCAAGGTGGGCATTTTGGGCGAATTCACCCCCACCCCTACCCCTCACCCCCACCCCCACCCCACCCCCTGCAGCTCCCGAAATCGATGAAAAATTGCCGTTTTTTCTAGAGTTCAAAGGAAACTTAACAATTCTATCGGGAGGATTTTGCTTTATGAACCGAAAAAAAAGGTTCAGTTTGCAAGAGGAGTCGAAAACCGAAAAGCGGAGCTCAATGACACCGACATGGCGGCCTCTCAAATCAACGTTCTTAAGGAAAGGAGGCCATGTCCGTGAACTTAGCGACGTATACGTATACGTATTCAGCGACGAATTCCAAATCACTTCAGATTCATGGCATGGGTTAAGTTGACCATGCTGAACACGAATATGACATTTATTTTAACTTTTGAGCTGATCTTCATGGTTAAAATCCGGTTTAAATGACGGGGAACCGCATAACGTCGCGAAAATAAAAACCCACGAATTCCAAAGTATGTGCAAAATGTAGAGCTCATCCAGATCTAACGTCCGTGGCAGAATCCAAGCTCGTGGCTCTTTAACTTCATGGTTAAAATCCTGTTTAAATGACGGGGAACCGCATAACGTCGCGAAAATAAAAACCCACGAATTCCAAAGTATGTGCAAAATGTAGAGCTCATCGAGATCTAACGTCCGTGGAAGAATCCAAGCTCGTGGCTCTTTAACTTCATGGTTAAAATCCGGTTTAAATGACGGGGAACCGCATAACGTCGCGAAAATAAAAACCCACGAATTCCAAAGTATGTGCAAAATGTAGAGCTCATCCAGATCTAACGTCCGTGGCAGAATCCAAGCTCGTGGCTCTTTAACTTCATGGTTAAAATCCGGTTTAAATGACGGGGAACCGCATAACGTCGCGAAAATAAAAACCCACGAATTCCAAAGTATGTGCAAAATGTAGAGCTCATCGAGATCTAACGTCCGTGGAAGAATCCAAGTTCGTGGCTCTTTAACTTCATGGTTAATATCTGGTTTAAATGACGGGGAACCGCATAACGTCGCAAAAATAAAAACCCACGAATTCCAAAGTATGCGCAAAATGTAGAGCTCATCCAGATCTAACGTCCGTGGAAGAAACCAAGTTCGTGGCTCTTTAACTTCATGGTTAATATCTGGTTTAAATGACGGGGAACCGCATAACGTCGCGAAAATAAAAACCCACGAATTCAAAAGTATATGCAAAATGTAGAGCTCATCCAGATCTAACGTCCGTGGAAGAATCCAAGCTCGTGGCTCAACGCCTTCATGGTTAAAATCCGGTTTAAATGACGGGGAACCGCATAACGTCGCGAAAATAAACACCCACGAATTCCAAAGTATGTGCAAAATGTAGAGCTCATCGAGATCTAACGTCCGTGGAAGAATCCAAGTTCGTGGCTCTTTAACTTCATGGTTAATATCTGGTTTAAATGACGGGGAACCGCATAACGTCGCGAAAATAAAAACCCACGAATTCCAAAGTATGCGCAAAATGTAGAGCTCATCCAGATCTAACGTCCGTGGAAGAAACCAAGTTCGTGGCTCTTTAACTTCATGGTTAATATCTGGTTTAAATGACGGGGAACCGAATAATGTCGCGAAAATAAAAACCCACGAATTCCAAAGTATATGCAAAATGTAGAGCTCATCCAGATCTAACGTCCGTGGAAGAATCCAAGCTCGTGGCTCAACGCCTTCATGGTTAAAATCTGGTTTAAATGACGGGGAACCGCATAACGTCGCGAAAATAAAAACCCACGAATTCCAAAGTATATCC